TTATGTGTAAAAATTTTATTGTGTTATATTTTCGTTCATATATTATTTATTTAATCAGGTTTGTTTCAGTTGTTTCATTGCAGATATAATATTGTCTCACTTTTAAACCCTAAGAATGGCGCGACTTTCAGCTATTGTTTATTATGATGGAGAAATTTGAGAAGATGAAACCGTCGTTGTTTTCGTATCAAATGAGCGTGTTAAAATATCATTCAAGAGAAATATAACTCTTGAGGAGCTGATAACGAAGATTTCAAGGAAGGTTCATGTTGGAAGTAGTAGAAGAATGTCGTCGTTGCAGTACATATTTCCAACATCATTGTTGTCATTAACTTATACAGCATTCGAACTATCGAACAATGATGATGCTGAAATTATGGCTGATTCTCAAAGTAATTATTCAGACGCCGATATTGAGATGTATGCAAAGTTTGTTCAAGTACGTGATGGGCTAGCTGAACAAGTTGATCAAGTTAACAGCCCGACTACAGTAATATGTTATGATTTTAATGCCATAATGGGAAATCCACATCATGGTGTCGTCACATCAACTTCAATGGGGAGACATTCATCCGCAACTCCTTACGATATGTTCCGAGGTGGGTCCACAAACAATCCGTATGGCAACATCGTGTCCAGTTCAAGGGGAAGGAATTCATCTGCAAATTTCTTTGAACTTAATATGGAGATGTCATCGACACAACAATCTGTGCAGTTTCCATTTGAACGTCTCTGTCGACGTCGCTGAAAGGTCTGCCCTCGTGCATCCTCAGAAAGCAGAAATGGTTTCCCGTTACTGTTGAACCACTCATAATAACGTCAGCAACCGTCAAGAGGTCATAAAAAATGGGCTCTCTACGGGGAAGGCGCCGATGTCGATCCTCCCACAACACGACCCACTCATGATGCTTCACCAGCCAATCTGTATCTGACTTGCCGCGTCTATATGTGCTATGCAACTCATCCATATTGCGAGGTGCTTCTGGAATTGGTTGAAAATAACCAAATTGCCGGAGCATGCGATCAGTGGAGTGCCACTTGACGATCGCATAATAGATCAAAGGGATCTTTGCCATCCAAACATCTGATGGGCCCCTCAACTCAGGTGGGATCACCATCCTCACATCATCATTAGAATATGGAACCCATTCAAACTAAAACAAATATATATAATTTTTATCAAAATAATAATCTAATTATATAACTATAATCTAAAATCGATTTTTAAACATTAAAATGCATACCTGTGTGCCATTCTTCTGATCGATTAGCACCCTAATTTTTTTCTAAATCATCATGTAGCTCCTGATGATTTTTCCTATCAGTAGACCACATATTCAAGGAAAAAAATTATTATACCCTGTATAAAATGATTAATATACAAAATCAGTTTTATAATTACCTCAATAGTAGCGAAAATAAGAATGGGTTCTTGACAACGGGACATAAAAAGGGAAATCGATACCATGCCCAAGACTACAGCAGTAGGAGACATCCACCGATAGCATTTTTCTTGTAGTCAGTCGCTCGACACATCTACCTGTACAAGAAAGTCAAAACTACCGAGCCCCAACTGAGTGATCCGACCAGACGAAAGTCGCTAAGATGTCGCAACCACATACAGTAAACTTGGTTGAGCGATTTGTCCGGCATCAGCAACCCTCCTATCAGCTGTAGTATGCATGCCCGTGCATACATTTTGACTTCATCATCAGAGGTGTCCTCCCTCAACTCCCAAAAATTGGCATCTAACCAATTTAACGGTATCCGACCACCGTTAAAACTTTCTAGGACATGTCCTAGATATTCCCGGCACAAAGCAGTCTAGGAACAGTGCGCCATCCCTGATATCACATCTCCATCCACCAGAAGCCCCAGGTGCATAGAAACATCCTCAAGTGTAATCGTGCACTCTCCGCACGAAAGATGAAATGTGTGAGTCTCCAGCCTCCACCTCTCCACTAAGGCAACAATAAGGTCTGGTTTTATCTTACAGTGACCCTCATATCTACCTATGTGACCGAATCCAACCTCTACTAAATACAACAAGACACGGCTAGGTATTACTAACTTAAGGTTCTTAATAAAATGATCTAATACGCGGTCCCTCTCCTAAAATTAAATAATTACAAAAATTAATTTTTAAACTAATAATCATGCATTAAATAAATTAATTAATTATTACTAATAATTTAAATTAAATTATAACGTTAAAATGTTATCGTATCAGCAAGATGTCGAGATATATGATTTCCATCCAAGCGAAGTAGACCGCCTTCCATTTTATATCTGAAAAAATTTAATTAAATAAAATATTAAAAAATTTAAATACTTAAATAAATTACAAACAAAATACTAAATATAATAAAATATACCTTAAACAGTTATAAGAGTATTTGAGAGAAGTTGAGAGGATTTGGTGTGATGAAAGTGATTGAGAATTGGGGTATTTATAAGGAGGGATGGGTGTGTGAAAGGCCGGGGTAGGTGGGTAATTAAACCTAAGGTGCGCCGCAGGGGGGCGCCTTTCTGTCGTGTATCAGATTTAAAGGTAAGGCGCGACCCCTGCCTCGAGCTATACCCCTACGTTGCATAAGGCGCGCCCCAGGGGCCGTGCTTTATGCAAGTGTATTCCATATCAGCATAAGGCGGGCTTCAGGGGCACGCCTTACCCCACGTGGTGCCAGATCAGCGTAAAGCGTGCTTTAGGGGAGTGCCTTATTGCAAAGGGTGTTAGATCGAGAAATATAGTCTGAACGGTGCCTGAAAGGGAAAAATAAATTGAAAAGATGATATATCGGGAAAAATGCCAATACATTAAGGATGAGGTTCAAGTCACACGTGTGTCACATGTTTATTCATAACATACAAATAAATATCATAGTGTAGTTTGAGAACACACGTGCATCACATGACTCACAACCTTCTATGACCTATGTACTTCGAAATTTTAATGAGATTCAAGTTATATCAATATAAAAAATATACACTCAGCTAATAAACTCTTCTAAAATATATGGACGACATTAAGTTAACTAATGAATAGAATAAAAGTACATGTATTAAATTGAGGGCACAAAATTAGAAGAAATAACAAGTATATAAGTTTAACATATTTAAGGTTAAATAAAAATATTATTATCCAATCATTAAATGGTTTTAGTGATTAAAAAGAAATGTTATTTTTTTATAACATCTTAAATTCTAAAAATTACTGTATATTAATTATTAAAATATTTTTATTTTTTCTAAATAGTCATATTCATAGCTTAACTATACTAATAATGGTTATTAAATTAATTGACGAAAAAAATATAAGTATTAAATTAAGAAAAAGATATTTACATGCGATAAATAACAAGTATATCATTTATATACGTATTTAAGACTAATGAAAATATAATTATATTACATGAATCAAATTATTTTAATAATTAAGGAATAATTATTATTCTTACATATCTTAGGGTAAGCATCAGAACTTATAGGATATTTAAACATTCATTATGAAATAATTAAGAGTATTCAAAATAAATACTATCACTTACCATTATGAATATTAATTAAAAAGGGTTAACCACACAGTTGATCACTTATCTTTAGATTTTATCCACTTTTGATCACTAATTTCATAAGATATGGTCACTTACGTTTTTATTTACACAAGATTTAGTCACCCTATGCTAATTGTCGTTAAAAGCAGTTAAATATTTTGATATATTCACATATTTGGCCCTGTTAGTTATATATTCTCTCAATTTAGTCATACTTTTAATAAATTAAAATAAATTATATATTATTAAATGAAAATAAAAATATATTCAATTAGTTAATAAAAAAAAATTAAGTTAATATATATATAATTATATGATATATAATTCGGGTCACAAATACCCGGTTCATAATTTTTTTATTTTTCTTTAAATTATATATATATTTTAAAAGTTATATAAAAAATTCTAAAATTTAAAAGTCTATAATATATATAATCCACACATAAAGTTTAAAAAATTCAAATTACATAATTGAAATAAAATTTATTAAAATTTAAAATAAAAAAATATAATTAAATTTCAAATGTTTTGAAGTTAAAATAAATATTTTAAAAATAATTTAGAATGTTAATGTGAAATGGTTTAATAAATTAATAATTTAGAACGTTATGGTGTAAAAATTTAAGAAATTGAGATTTTAAAATGTTATAGTGAAATAATTTGAGTATTATGAAAAAAAATAATATCAAATAAAAATAATAAATATATAATAAATCAGGTACTAGGTCGGAGGGTACCCGGTCAACCTACATTTTGTGACCCATGCTCGACCCAGAAACCCAGTAGGATACATGACCTAAAAAATCGAGTATTTTTATTATAAATACCCGATATTTTTTAACTGGGTCAGCGGGTCGACGGGTCAACTCAATCAGGTATGGTATTTTTGAACAACCTTACTGGCATGACATGTGGCATGTTCGATTGGAGGATTATTTTTTTTAATTTATTAAAAATATGACTAAATTAAGAAAATATGTAATAACAGAGATCAAATGTGTGATTATATAAAAAAATGTTTAACTTTTGTTAACGACAGTTAACTCGGGGTGACCACATCTTAATTAAATAAAAACGAAAGTGACCAGAAAATATGTAATAACAGAGACCAAATGTGTGATTATATAAAAAATATTTAACTTTTGTTAACAGTAGTTAACTTAGGTGACCACATCCTAATTAAATAAAAACGAAAGTGACCATATCTTAATTAAATAAAAATAAAAGTGACCATATATTATGCTTTTTGAAATCAGTAACCAAAAGTGGACAAAATACAAAGATAAGTTACTATCCATGTAGTTAACCCATTAAAAAATTACAACCATATTACCAAAACGACCCTTTTCCCAGCAAAGCTACGCAAAATGCTTTGCCATTTTTTCTTATTTATTTAATCTACTACTTTCAATGCCAAATAAAATCTTAAATGACGATAATACCCATACACAAATATTCTTATCCCATCCAGACCAAACGAAATCACTTTGATTTATCCGAAGCAACTGTCCTGTTTCGTCCATGCGCAAAATACACCTGCCATTTTTCTCTGCACTTTTCCATTATTACCAAACAGAGAGTTTCCTAAAAAAAAAAATCTTTGACGGATAGAAGGATTGGGGGTAATGGACGGCAATTCTACGGAGGCTGAACGGTGGCTGTCCATAGCTGAGAAGCTCTTAGCGACGCGTGATTTGCACGGGACGCGAACCTTCGCCATCCGAGCCCGTGAATCGGCCCCTATCCTAGCCGACCAAATCCTTGCGGTGACGGACACTCTCTTAACGGCGCAATCTAATCCTCAAGACTGGTACGGGATCCTCCAACTCGTACCGTTAACTCAGTCCATGGAAGTCGTGGCGAGTCAGTATAGGAAACTCGCCCTTCTTTTGAATCCTGGGAGGAACAGGCTTTCTTTCGCAGATCAGGCGTTTCGATTCGTTTCTGAAGCTTGGAATGTGTTGTCGAACCCTTCTAAGAAGGCCATTTATGATAACGAGTTGAAGTTCCTTCAGTTTGGTCAGGTGAGTCAACTCGGTCAACAACAACATCATCAACAACAACCAAATCTACAGCAACATCAGCAGCAGCCACCGCAAACGCAGAATCTGTTCGTGCAACCGCAGCCGCCTCCTGAGCCGAAGGAAACCCAGACACTGTTTATGCAAACTCCGCAGAAAGAAATGACGACGCAAGCTACTCAACCACTATTCACGAGAAGCAGCCCTAGAAACACTGATAGAGATGGGAATGCTGCTTTAGGAGGAGGAGGGCAGTTGGGTCTAAAGAACAAGCCGCCGGAGCCGATATGGAGGAGGCAGATGAATCAGATTGGCTTAGCTGGGTCGTGTCAGGTTAATCAGTCAGGATCAGTCGGTTCCAGCCAGATTAATCAGCTCGAGTCTACACAGACGAGTCAGGTTAATCGGCCCGAGCCTATTCGCATGACCCAGATTAATCAAACAGGAACCCATAACTCTCAGTTTAATCTGCCTGAGTCTACTCGGGCGGGTCAAATTAACCAGACAACAACTCCTCCTCCTATGGAGAATAGTCAGACACAGCCAACTAGTGTGAATCAGCCTAGAGAAGCCACTGAGTCAGAGGGTCTGACTTTCTGGACAGCTTGTCCATACTGTTACGTTCTCTACGAGTATCCAAAGTTGTACGAGGATTGTACATTGAGGTGTCAGACTAAAAACTGCAGGAGAGCTTTTCATGCGGTTGTGATACCGTCGCCTCCAGTGAATGGAAAGGACACACATTTCAGCTGCTGGGGGTTTTTCCCATTAGGATTCTCGAGGGGCGGTAATTTTCCCAGTTGGTCTCCTATTTCGACCATGTATGCTTGCCCAAATACTGCCAAAAAGTCTGCTCCAAGAGTGTATTATGATGACGATGATGATATATATTTAGATCTTTCTGACTCGATTGGGACTTCTGATGACGATGATGATGATGATTGGCAGAATGAGAAGAGGAAGAAGGCGAAGAATGCCAAAGGGAAAGGGTCTGTGGGGCCAACTGCTAAGAAACCACTGAGTGAGAGAGTGAAGAACGCGACTAATGAGAAAGCTGATGTTGATCGTAGTGGGAATTTGAGTGGTGTCTCTGCAGTGCCTGATGGTATGCCGACTGCTGAGTCGAGTAAAAGGGGGGTTGTTAATAGTGTGAGGAAGCAGATGGGAAGGGGACAAAAGAATTTGGGGAAGCTGGATTTGAATGTGGAGTTTAGTAATGAAGTGGAGGAGACGGTGCCAAGGAGGAATGAGGGGAATCACGCTGGCTATGGGGAGGAGGATAACATTGAGGAAAATGGGTTCTTTGAGGGTCTTGATGAGTTTTTGAGTAGCTTGCCTATTCTTCCGGCTGTTGGGGATGATAAAGTTAAGGCTGCTCAGTGAAGTAAGATCCTTTTTTTTTCTTGCAGTAGTTGTAGTAATTAGATGCTTCTAGTATTTAACTATGTTGAGATGCTTAGGGATGCTTTTATAGCCTCTTCGAGGTTGAATCCAACTGTATATTTTGCAGCAGCATGTATTGTCAATATTTTGATCGTTTTGTGCTGCCTATTTACTCTGAATTAAATTTCCTGTTTGGGAAGATCGTTAGAAAGTTTGGTACAAAATCATGACAACTTGTGGATTGAAGATGGAATGTTCTTTTCATCATGATTCTTGCAGTGGTAAGTTGTCTGACTGCTCTCTTTTCTTTTGCTTTGAAAGAGTTTTAATCATGACAATTGCTTTCTCCCCTCCGCTCCCGTGGAAAAGAAAATTTCTGAGGTTTAGATAAACTCCTTGACCTTACTCAGAGACTGAAAATCTGATTTTTCCTTTGTTTTTATTTCTTGATAGCCGGTAACTGCTTCAGTATAAAATATCTTAATTAAATATCAGCATTCCTGTCACCATTCACCAAGCAAGTGTAGCGTTTTGATAATTGAGTTGCTATGCTCTTTTTCAGTTTCATTTTCTTTTAGCACATGTTTTTTAAATTGCAATAGCTAAGTAGTTGATCAGATGTTAAAGAGCCCAACAAGTCATTCATTCTAATAATTGGTTGTAGTTTGTTGCAATATGGATGGTTGCTGATCTTAAATGTTTCTGTTCTCTGTGCTGTAAGTTTATGGTTCACTTTTCTTTATGGTTGTACTGATAATGCTTCAGCAGGTTCCTGTTTTTCCTAAAATCTAATTTAGTAAGCAAGATATGTTGTAATCAGTTGCTGGTTGGATAACTTTTGATTGGAACCTGTTTATGTACTTTGTATGAGGTTTTGGGCCTTTTGTTTTGGCTAGTTGTAATCAACTCTTAAGGGTGTTGTATGACGCTAGCCTGGGAAGACACGTGGCCTGTAATCTAATTGTGAACTAAGCTTTGCCTGTCAAAAACTGGAGGCTGCCTCTTGTTTTTTGTAGTTGTGAAATGTTGCTGAGTTTTAGATGCTGCGAAGATGTCCAGTAGCAGTATGGATTGTGGATCGCAGGCGATTTAACAGTTATCTTTCCTTCCTACCCCACTAAACAATTGAAGAGTGTAACAACTTTTGCTGTCCTTTTTCAAGGGCAAAAAGGTGCGTTATGCATGAACTTGATAAAAGACAATATCTCCTATAAGTTTTTTTAAGTAAGCATCTCCCGTCCATTTAGAAGTGTACCATGAATATTTGGTTAATCGTAGGCATGGGATCATAAGTAATATGATTCTTCTGTATTAAAAGTGGCAATGAGCCACAGAGTTGATCCGGTAATTGTGAACCTGCTATTGGGCACAATGCCAGAATTGCCAAATGTGTTATTATATCTCTGATGCAATTCTTTTGAGATGGCCTCTTAAGCTTTGCAGCTGTTCTGAGTTTGAAATCTTTGATTGTTATCTTCAGCACACATTACTTACTGTCGATGGCCTCCGTATTCCATGTTTAGTAGAAATTAAATGAAAACAAGTTACTGTGTATCCCTCAGCATTGATTGCATGACCCATTTGGGAGCTCTTAAGATGTTTCATTTCCAAGCAGAGCTTGTAAATGATATGTTTCATATAGAAGAATTGTGCATTTGAAACCCCTTTGACACAGGTTTTAAGATCTTCAAGGAGATGCTATTACTCTTCCCCAGAATCGGATAAAGATGTGTCGAGTTTTCTTCCCCGAGCACCATTATATGCATGATTCGCGCATGCACTTCTCTGGTAATTGGTTATGAACGATTGGCTTCGCTGTTGGAGTGTCGATTTTTTCATGTTTGAGTGGCATGAAGATAACAATCTTGAATGGTCTAATTTAGAAAAGGAAATAAGAGTTAGTTGTTGAGAGAACGTCTCATTTGCATCCGCACCAATGAACATTATAATTGATTCAGTGTACGGTGTAAGCTGCTTGATTCCCCTGGTGTTGAAAATAACCTGTTTATTGGTCGGGTGGCACATCCGGCCTGGATATGGGCAAAATTTTCAGCCCGCTGAACAATTTGGTTTGCTTATAATTAGTCTGACTTAAATAATGCCACGTGTCTAATTTTTAGATGTAAAAGATTGAATACTTTAGGTATTTGTTTTGATTTTAGACGTTTATTTTGATTAAATTATATTTCAGGTGCTTAGATAAGGTAAAAAGGATGGTATATGGTTAGGGACTTGTATGTAATATAAGTCTTTAAATAAATAGATTTAATAAATAAATAAAAAGGATGAATTTCATTGTATAGATAACCCAGATGCTCAAGTGAAAGCAATAGAAAAAAATAAATGGCTAAGGGTTAATTAATCCATGAAATTATTGTTTGAAATGGTGAAAAAAATGAAGAATTGGTTCCATGATATCACATTTGTTTGACGAATAAGTTGTTTTTTTACACAGCAAAATTCATTTTATTATTAAATGCAAAATGCCAATAGATTACCAATTAAGTAAAAAGGCACTAACAGACAACAGACGGCAAAAAAATATAATCCGAATGCAAACGAAACCCCAAGATTATACAGCACTTATCGCCTATCCAGAAAGGAAGCAACAAAAATGAGAGCCAACAATGTCATAGAATCAGGCAAGACCGTTCAGTTCCAAGCAATGACAGCAACTCCCGAGCAACACTAATAGATTTCGGTCTTGACAGTGTTGGAGGGATATTGATGATTGATCCAACTTTTGTCTCGTTAGAGGAGAGCATTAATTATTTCTGCACTATTGATAGAGTTATAGAGGATTTGTGTTATCGAAAAAGTAAAATAAAGGTAATATTGATTTGATTATTGCCTTTGTCAATATCATAGATAATGTCATTGTCATTAATATTGATTTATTTATTTTTTAGTATTTGAGATTTTGATGAAGCTCAATTGAACAATCGAATGGTTATCAAGAGATGTTAATTGAATTTTTGAGTTTATAGAGTAAGGAATATAAAGAGATAGATAATATGTACAATGATTTATAGTGGTTCGATTTCTCAACCAAGTCTTTACATCCACTTCCTAAGCTCCTCACTAATTTGTTCTTTATTTTTATAGGATCAAAAGATAACATTTACAACTTCCTAGCTTTTCAAAGGCTAAACTAGAACCACTCTCCTTTAGAAAATGATAAGAAATGTAAATAAGAAAGCATCACAAGGTATGTGTTTACAAAATTTAGGCTCACTAAAACGCTAATATTTACAAGAGAAATGAAAAATAAGAATGAAAAGTTCTTCACTTGTGTTTGATTGTTTTCATAGGTGTTCTAACCCTTCTTCAAGTGTCCCCAACTTGTTTTTATATGTTGGAATGAGTTTGTGATTGTTTCTAGCCATTAGGGATGTTTTAGAGCCGTTGGAGATTAATTTTCTGCAAAATAAAACTGCCCAGGACAGGGAGTATCGGTACTCCTTTACTGAGTGTCGGTATTACCTTTGTAATATTTAAATAAACTAGCCGTTAAAGACTGTTAGGCTTGACCAATATCGATACTATGCTTCATTATATCGATACCGCTATGTAAAGTAGTATTGGTACCCCTTTGAGTATCAATATCTATTTTGCATTTTGGAATTTGAGCAATTTGGAAAACAACTGGTAATATCGATACTACCTAGAGAATATCGATACTTCTCTTACCTTTGGTATCGGTACCACGTGAATAGTATTGGTACTGTTCATGCAGTATCGATACTGTAAGAACAATATCGATACTACGTACCCAGAAAAATAGTTTTGTGCTCAAATTCTAATTTAATGGACTTTGAATTATTTTTGAAAACTTTTGAAAACTTTGAACAAATTAAATCAAATCCAAAAACATTTTGCATTAATTTGTTATATCAAAATATTATAAAACATGGTTCAACAATCTCCTCCTTTTTGATATAATAAAATATTTGAAAATTTGTTTTTGGCAAAACTTCCCCTTAATAAAATATTTCATGAAAAAGAGAAATATTTGGAAAATATTAAAACTCCGCCTTTTTCATTCTTGAAATTGAATTTTTCAAACTTATACTTCTCCACATTTGTGTTATATAAAAAATAATTCAACTTTAAAGTTCAAAAATGACAATCGAGAGTAAGTGGTAAATTTAGCATAAAATTATTTGAAAAATCAAAGCTCCACTCAATAAAAGCATTCTAAGCTAGAATTTGACTTTAAAAGCTTGACACTTAAAAAAAATTGAATTTCAACAAAGATGAACAAACATGTTAGTAGCACATGAAATTCAATATATACAACTCTAATATACTTTATGCAATACCAATTGTTGTATTTAAGTGCATGTGTATAAAGCTATCAAAAAATGTTATGCATTTAAAAAATTGTTATCAATTGTTAGAGATATATCATAGACAATAAAATCACATGCATAAACATTTAAATTAAGGTCAAAAATTAAAATTTGTAAAAACAAAACATTTAAAACCAATTTTGACCAAAATTCATTATGATGAACAAACATTTATGAAAAATCATTAAAACTTTTGAAAATGTTCATCATAAAATATTTTCAACATACATGAGATAGAAAACATAAAATTATTTAAAATTAAAACTCATGCATGCTTAAACTAAATGAACAACCAATTATGCAAGATAATCAAAATAAGAAAACCTCGCAAGGTAGGTGTTTACAAAATTTAGGCTCACTAAAACACTAATATTTACAAGAGAAAGAAAAATAAGAATGAAAAGTTATTCTCTTGTGTTTGATTGCTTGGATAGAAGTTCTAACCCTTCTTCAAGTGTCCTCAACTTGTTTTTATACGTTGGAGTGAGTTTGTGGCCATTTCTAGCCGTTGGGGATGTTTTGGAGCTGTTGGAGATTAATTTTTTGCAAAATAAAATTGCCCAGGACAGGGAGTATCGGTACTCCTTTAATGAGTATCGGTACTAGCTTTGTAATATTTAAATAAACCAGCTGTTAAAGATCGTTGGGCTTGACCAGTATCGATACTATGCTTCATTGTATCGATTCTATTGTGTAAAGTAGTATCAGTACCCCTTTGAGTATCAGTACCTATTTTGCATTATGGAATTTAAGCAATATGAAAAACAACTGGTAGTATCGATACTACCTAGAGAGTATCGATACTTCTCTTACCTTTGGTATCGGTATCACGTGAACAATATCGGTATTGTTCATGCAGTATCGATAATACAAACCTAGAAAAACAATTTTGTGTTCAAATTCTAGTTTAATGTACTTTGAATTATTTTTAAAAACTTTAAACAAATTCAATTAACTCCAAAAACATTTTGCCTTATTTTGTTATTATCAAAATATTATATAATATGGTTTAACATTAATTGCGGGTCAACCCCCTGTAAAAAATGAAAACTTAATTGGGCACCTTCAGTCAACCAGATGAAATCCTAATTGGTTGCCTTCTGTCAACGAGTAAGAACAAATTGCCCTTGGACTTGGAGCACCAAATGCACTCCTAAACTGGTATACATATATATACATCTCAGGGAAAATAAAAAAAATGATAAAATAGCATTCTCGAAACTTTATGTAAGTTGATATATTCGAATCTCACGGATGGAGAAAGATGTTTATAACATAGATTGAATCAAGAAACTTTGACAAATATAGAATAATTGAAAAGAAAGGAAATTCATTTAACTGAATAGTTGTAAGTTTGGTAACTGGTGGCGTTTATAAAACAAACACCACTAAGATTATACATATAGCAGCGTTTGTAGAAAAAAGTCACTAAGTGTCAAATTAGAGACGTTTATGGAAAAACATCGCAAAAGACATTTATTATTAGTGGCGTTTCTTTTAAAAACATCGCTATAGAATGATAAAAAAAGTGGCATTTTTTCAAAAACGCAGCAATAAACTTGTAACCTAGTGGCGTTTTTGTTCCACATGCCACAATAGACGCGTAAGTTTGTGGCGTTTTTTATACAAACGCCGCCATAGGATCGTAAATCCCCAATCTTTCTCCTGCCATATCCCTAGTTTCATTTTAACATTTTATAACCTATGTTCTTCCTCCATTCTTGGCAGTGTTTCCACTCTCACCATCGTTGCGTCACTGTTGACCACCGTCGCGCCACCAATCACCATCGTCTCACCGCCAATCACTCTTCAAGGCTCAAAATCATGCACTCTTTTAGTTTTTAGCAGTGTTTCTGCTCTTTTGTTTTGTTTTTGTTTTTTTTTTTGGGTGGAGCCATTTCGTTTCTATGTTGATCATACATATGGCATAGAATCTCAAAGCAGTATTATGTTGTTCTAATTGTCTACAAAATTTAAATATTGAAAGGTTAGTTATAGTTAAAGATAGTACAAATATATTAGCTAGCCTTGTTCTTGGTTTTGGTGTATGGCATGGAAACATTTTTGGAGAAGAATGTGGAATGGTGGTAGATGAAGATAAAATATACGAGCATGTCCAAACCTTGACTAATGAGTTTCCAGCCATATTCAAATAGTTAAAAGAAATATAGATTCGAAGTGATTAGTTTGGATGCATGGAGAGTTTTAAGTAACAATAATGAAGGAATTATACGAATTTCCTCTTGGAGGCCGTGTGAAATTTTTAAGTAACGATGTTGGTAAACCTATTGGGACAGAAGCACATGTTCTGGCTAGTTACATAGGCGTGATTGCATGCAATGCTAATCTTTCACCGATCAATTTTGAGTCATGGTAACAAAAATTAGGTTGTGGATTGTATTAAGGTAATAATTTCATTGTAATTGATAATTTATTACAGTTCAATAGTAATTTATATTTACTTTTAAAACTTGTTTTATTTGTAGGATAAATTTTTTCTAGAGGTCTCATATAATTATTTGAAGCAAAAGTTAGGAAACAAATGAAGAAACCACAAGAGTTCCTTAAAAAAGAAATATTTAAAGAATAATCTCAGCCTAGAACAAAAACTGCAAAATGTCTCACTTGGAATGCTCAGGTATCAATGGGAAGATGCAGTCAGGTTTTGGAGTTCAAAGAAATGAGAGGTATGATGCACTTTTTTTAAAAAAAATATTATGTCACTATAATATTAACTTTATAGGTCA